GGGTTACAGATTGCAATTATTGTTTTGCTGGTTACAAATAGAGGAAAAAAAATTCAACTCCAATTACCGATACTGCTCCTCGGATTCTCATTAATAAGAAGAATAACTCCGCTGATGAAGATAACACGTAACGATCATTGCTCTTCCGAGAATTAAATGCCAAATATATGTGACGTAAATAGTTAAAATCTGGATTATTCTCCTGGATGAGGGATCTGTAGATAGATGGATGGATGCGGAAAACATATATTCAATTTTATTTTTTTTTATTCTTCTTCTTCTTCCTTCAATATTTGAAGGTGAATTTTACAACATTCGCAGCATTTTTCAATAGTATGAGGTGGGAGAGAAAGTTTCTCTGATCGATTGAACATCACTCAAACACATCGATCACAAGCAGCACACACAAAAAAGGGGGCACTAACTGACTTTGACATTGTCAAAATGACTAAAAAAGCGATAACGATTTACACTTTCCTTCCTTCATGATCCTAAAGGAATCCCATTTGAACCGTAGCTAACTTATTCAGTCGACTTTATGCACGTAATGAGCAGATTTAGGTACTTGACTATAAACACATTCATCCTGTCACGTGACTTGAAGCACCCTTCATATCTCGAGTTGAAGTATATATCGAGTGAACTTAATACAAGAGTACTGTAAGTGGATGAGGGTTTTCTATTGAAATGCATTTTACCTTGTTGTTTCTCCATCATTTATAAAAAGGAAGGAGGGAGGAAAAAAAACGCATAAATGTCATACGTTGTAACAGGGGCCTCCTTTCTTTATACGAAGTTTTATAAATCCTCAGTTAAAGTACAGGTGTTCGAGATCGTTACACGGGGGGAAGGAGTAGAAATCTGTTTTACGTCGTCGATTTTTACCTGTAAAGAAAATAAAAAGTTATCTCGAGCGAGAAGTCAATAGATCAGATACGAGTAGAAAGTCTTTTAAGAGTGTTGGTAGAAACGTAAAAATGGTGGATATATTGTTTTGTGTGCAATATAAGGGATCTAGTTAAAGCTATCTTGGACCATCGGATCTCCCAATGGAGATGGTAAATCTCCCTTCCTCCACAGTGAAGTACTTCAGACATCAAAAGCGAGATTCTCTATAGATAGTTTGTTTACAATCACTCTTCTATCGTTATTTCTTACCGGAATGGGTTATATTTTCTTATTGTTGACATCTCCAATTTTATTCTAAAGTTTTACCGGATAAAAATCCAATATTTAACTTCAGATTCAACTCTTTATTTATCTTTTATCAATAGTTAACGTGTCTGAAGTTTCTTCTTCTTCTTGGTTATCCTCGTGGTGATCACATCACGTAAAACGTTATTTATTTAAAATTAATTCATAAATTGATACTGTAAATAAATTTAAAATTTAATTCTTTATATAATCCCTTAAAATTTACTAAAATTCGCGTGTTTATGAGGAAGTTCTTCCTTCCTCATCCCTTTCGAGACGTAGCATCTGGATAAGATTCTTTGCTAAAGTTTCCAAGAAATTTTCCTTTCTTTCTTCTAAGATTCGACATATTTGAAAAGTTTAAAATTTTCTAAAAATTTCTGAATGTGTGAACTTTACAGTTTTCATGTGGAGCACGATTTTTTAACTCATCGTTTTCGATACCTCACCTTAAAGAGATGGTTCGCATTTCAAGTAAAACCATTCGCATTATACAAAGAAGGGGAGAGGAGAGGATAGAAAGAAAAAAAAAAGCTGTTCGCGTGATGATTCACTCGAACTTATCGAAGGAAAAAATAAGCAAAAATAACATAAAACTACCCATGAAAGTGAAGCGTGACCCGTTCTCAATATCCATAGCTAATGCTTCAGATCACGGTAGCGTAAAACCATTTTTAAAAAATATAAAAACACGTGTTTACATACCATTTTCCATACACATTGTTAATTATAATTAAAATAAACATATATATTTAATAGAAAATTGATAAATAAAACGAAATCATAGTCAATTCTATGCTATTTTTATATCAAAGGATGATGATTTTCTCTGAATCAGATCCTTTCCCATAAAAACAATACATAGACTATTTATATATCAGTATAAAGAATGTATTTTATATATTTCCTTTCTATTTTTATAAAATTCTATATATAATTTTTATTTATTATATCCTCATTTTCCTCATTCATAATCCTCCAATCTATTTTTGTTTCTTAGCATCATTCAGCATCTTTTTTATTACTGCTCTTACCTTCTTTTTTATTTTTACTTTACTTTTTCCTTAGAAAAATTTGTATGTAATATATATACAGTTTTCTTTACCCTTATTTTTGTTCCATCTTCCTCACTTCTCTGCTGATTTTCATCTTCCTCACTTCTCTGCTGATTTTCATCTTCCTCACTTCTCTGCTGATTTACATCTTCCTCACTTCTCTGCTGATTTACATCTTCCTCACTTCTCTGCTGATTTTACATCTTCCTCACTTCTATGCTGATTTTATATCTTCCTCACTTTTATGCTGCTTTTATATCTTCCTCACTTCTGTGCTGATTTTACATCTCCCTCACTCCTCTCTCTGCTGATTTTACATATTCCTCACTTCTATGCTGATTTTATATCTTCCTCACTCCTCTCTCTGCTGATTTTACATCTTCCTCACTTTCTGCTGATTACTTCTTCCTGATATTTGATTTNTCTTGGTTCCTTGATTCTTCTTGATTTCTTCATTCTCACGACAAAAATTTTCTCAATTCCTAAGTTTTCTCTCACTGAAACTTTTCTTTTTGATCTTAATTCCTCAATTTTCCTCGATTGGAACTTATCGAACATTTAAAGACTATGACCGAATTAATTGCATTCTACATAAATTAGAAGCATTTTACTCAAATTTTTGTCAAACATTTTTAACAACCGAAAGTTTCAGAATAATTAAAAGCACTTAAGGAAAATCTTGGTATAATCATTGATCAGTTCGATGAACAGTCGAGTACATTTATCATCTTTTAGGATGTGCCATTAGTTCGAAAAGTATTTTAGAAAATCACCAATCATTGCCGTTCGGCCACTCCTTTATCTCCAAAACCTGATTATTAAAGGATGTAATAATATATTTGGAACATTTGGTCATACGCTTGTTGAAAGGTAATATTTAAACAAGATATTAAATTAAATCTTTACGAAAGAGAACTTTTGAAAAGATTAAAAGAAAATTATTTAACAGCTGATGGAGTGTAATTACTTTATGACAATCCAAATTTTTCTTAAACAAATTAATATATCATTTTAATCTTTCGCAGAAATGCTCCGGGAGGTCGACTATTTTCTCTATATAAAATCTTTGATTTCTACCAGTAAAAAACGCTTTAAGCCTTAAAAAATTTAATATATTCTTTATATATTTTTTAAAATTTATGAATTGATTTTGTGTATAAACTTAAAATATATTTTTTAAAAATTATTTTCTGGGAGTAGCGCTTAGCAACTGTCTACGAGAAGCCAAGCGAAACGGCATTCTTCATCGAAATAATAAAAGAATATTATGAAATTCTAATAGAATATTTAATTAATTATTTAATGTTTTATTTAATTTTAACAAATTTGTATGTTATTAATTGAGAGGGACGTTTAGGGGATGCGATATTGAAATACTTCATTAAAAAGAAGAAGAAAATATGTCTACTTTTTCGCATTTTCTAAATCGATTTACAATTTTCTAACGTTATTTCTTGATAGAAAAGAAATTGATTTCTGTTCCAGATATTCAAAAGCATCATCCGCCGTAGGAAAATTAAGATAGGAATTTCGGCAAGAGTAATCTTTTCTCTCCAGATTCGGGTTAGAGTATCTGAAGATTGCTTCGTTACAAATCTCTCTTCTTACAGTTGCAGCATTGCCTGAAGGACCCAAGGGAAGTATTACGATTTCTTATTCGTCATCAATAGCTATTCAGACTTTCTTACGTTCGTTTCGATTTCTAACAAGAGATGGAACAGGAATTTTACCTTCTTTTGTCAACTGCGATGATTGAAAACTTTCTCCCTCTTACAATCTCTCTAAACGTTAATAAATTCATTTTCAATTCCAAAATACTGCTTAAAAATCCACTGATAATTACTTTAAATTCGAAAAATATAACAAAAATTTACCTCCAAATTCTTCACTTTAAGGATCTTGAGCTTCTTAACTCCAAGGATGCAAATTATGAACTCTACTTCATTCCAAGGATGCTGATCTTGACTAAACAGCATCATTTACAGCAAAACATATAATAAATATTGTCTATATATTTATTTTAATGTTTTTCAATACTTAAATGCTCTTTAAATTCGAAAAATAACGCCAATTCATTCCCAACTTCTTTACTCCAAGGATGCTGATCTTGAGCTTCTTAACTCCAAGGATGCGAATTATGAACTCTACTTCATTCTAAGGATGCTGATCTTGACTAAACAGCATAATTTACAACAAAATATATAATAAATTCTGTCCAAATATTTATTTTAATGCTTTTCGCTACATCAGTACTCTTTAAATTCGAAAAAATAACGCCAATTCATCCCCAACTTCTTTACTCCAAGGATGCTGATCTTGAGCTTCTTCACTGACAAAACAGCTTTATTATCTAAAAATACATAATAAATATTGCACAGATATTTATTTTAATGCTTTTTTTCTACAAAGTAAAATATTTTTATATTAAATTCTTGAATATAAAACGAAGTATTCGCATCAGTGTCGAGTGAAGTAACTTTAGTCTATCAAAGTAAAATACTCAGAAGAGGAAAGAGAAAATTGTACACCGGAAGTGACGATCGATCCGGACGTGACGTGAACCACTAAAAGGGAGGTTTAGGATAATGGAGATCTAACAGAAAATGCAGAAAGAAAAAGTACCACTACGCTACTACTAGGTGCTTCTGTTAACACGTCTAGAAACGTGTAAAGTAATTGAAAAAGGGTATAAATTTTTTAAAAATTATTCGAATTTATTATTTAAAAAAGGGATTTTTATGTAAAAAAAGTGTTTAAATTTATCAAATCCTCGAAAGAAGTTAGATTTTATTGATAATCTTTGAAGAAAAAGCGTACTTTTTAAATTAATTTCTTGTTAAAATCTTCATCCTAACTTGTAACAAACTTAATAATTTTGTTAGAATATTCCAAATCAAATTATCCGATGTTATATATTAAAAAAAAGTGTCGAAATTTTTAAATAAATTTACCAAGAAATCAAATTATTTTATGAAATATTGTAATTAAATTTTTACTTAGTTTCTCCTTCATATCTCCGCATCTTTAATCGATACAGCATCGTGTTCAATGATGAAATTTGTAATTCTACGTTTCGTATTTTATGCCTTTTTAAAGCGAATTTCCTCTAGTATAACGTTTCTCAACCTCCTACTCCTTCATCCTTCTGTGTGCAGATTCTCAACCTTTTTTGGGTGGTACGCGTACAACCGGTTGAGAATTGTTAGTCTAGTGCATAATCTTCATGCAAATTTTTGTATGTTTAATAATGAATTTTCATGTCCGTCACGTCTTAAAGTTAAAACTTCATTAGTACCAACTTTACAAGTTTACAATGTTCTTTTATTGTTCGTTTCTTTCCAAAATCTTAAGAGAACTTCTAACTCGACTTTTTTCTTATTTATTATTAAGTAATTTATATTTTTCTCAGTAAACTGTCTGCATGTTAGATGTAGTTTAAAATAAATATAAGTGTTACTCTAGAAGTTTTCTTTGTTACGCGCGAAGTGTCCGTAACGCAGACTTTCTAATTTACATAATTTTTTCAGCTGGTTATTTTAAAGATTTATATATAGTTTTGGGGAAATTTATAGGTAAAATTCGAGATATATCCCTGGAAGATTCTTTCAATAGTTTAAATATGGAGAAATTCATAGTTTAAGGGGGAATTCACAGGGAAAATTCAAAGATATAACCCCTAAAAAGTCCTTTGAATAGTTTAAATATAGAGAAATTTATAGTTTTTTGAGCAATTTATACGCAAAATTTGGGAATATAACACTGAAAAGTCGTTCGAATACTTTAAATATGTATAAAAGAAGCAGAGGAAAAGAGTTAAAATATTCCTTAAAAATTTTATTAAATATTTTCAATATTGCTTCAGCCATTGATGTATAGAATGAACAACGAGAAGGGAAAGAAAAAGGAATAAATAAAAATGGTGTCAAATATGGGAGTGAGAACCCTGAGGGGGGGTCTGGTGTAGCGCAGGAAAAGCCAAAATAAAAAAAAAAACATAGTACATCACTTAATATCGTTTGGAACTATCCATCTTATGCCAACGTCAGGGATATTGAGCATGAGCTTGTTTCAAGAACGTGGTGTGTTTGTGAGCCTCAGGAACTTGACTCCATCGAATGATAAAGTGGATTCGGCGGAGCAAACCCAAAGTATCGTCCAATAAGATTTAGATGTCTCCATTGGGACAAGCGTGGCGAATGAAAAATGATGGGGGGGATGTTTAGTAGAAGAGGGACAGTAGTTTTGTAGTTCGACTTCGATAAAAGTATTAATATTGTGTTACATCGGAATGTGATGCGGAATGCGAAAAAATGTTCATATATCAGGAGGCAGGGGGGAAGAAATTCGCTATGGAATTTATAAGAAATGCTCTTTGTCAAATTGAATGTTTCTCTCTCTTCCTCCTTTTTTTTTTATCCACGTGTTCCTGCTCCTCCTGCTCCGTGATCGATGCAAGTTTCTAGATCTAGAAGATAAGAAGATAGGAAAAAATGATAATTGAATGATTCGATCTTAAATTAACTTTTTAATGATGTTAAAAAACGATTTCTTTTCTCGTTTCTGGCAGGGGAACATATTTTTACTTTATCTGACAATGTAAAGAAAAATGTTAGGAGACAATGATGAACTGAGATAAGAGTGTATTGAAGTATATTTGAAACATGGAAAAGTTGAGCTGGACCCGTCAATAAGAGTAGATTGTTCATAGAGAAGGAAAGAGAGAGAGGGAGAGGGAGAGAGGAAGAATGATGGTTATGATTTATTGCTCACCCACCAGATTTGACTGGACAGCTAATATAGTCAGCCACTGGTGATGTATGGACTCAAAGGAGATGGATATTTCTAATGTAAATCCCTATATTCTACTGTAAAAAAAGAAATCCCTACTGCTCGATAACTTTGTAGAAATTACAGTAAAGAAAGAGGATATTCAAGATTTTAATTTGGTAATTGTCGTAGAGCTTTCAAATCCGTTGTTTGTATCGGGTTACAGATTGCAATTATTGTTTTGCTGGTTACAAATAGAGGAAAAAAAATTCAACTCCAATTACCGATACTGCTCCTCGGATTCTCATTAATAAAAAGAATAACTCCGCTGATGAAGATAACACGTAACGATCATTGCTCTTCCGAGAATTAAATGCCAAATATATGTGACGTAAATAGTTAAAATCTGGATTATTCTCCTGGATGAGGGATCTGTAGATAGATGGATGGATGCGGAAAACATATATTCAATTTTATTTTTTTTTATTCTTCTTCTTCTTCCTTCAATATTTGAAGGTGAATTTTACAACATTCGCAGCATTTTTCAATAGTATGAGGTGGGAGAGAAAGTTTCTCTGATCGATTGAACATCACTCAAACACATCGATCACAAGCAGCACACACAAAAAAGGGGGCACTAACTGACTTTGACATTGTCAAAATGACTAAAAAAGCGATAACGATTTACACTTTCCTTCCTTCATGATCCTAAAGGAATCCCATTTGAACCGTAGCTAACTTATTCAGTCGACTTTATGCACGTAATGAGCAGATTTAGGTACTTGACTATAAACACATTCATCCTGTCACGTGACTTCAAGCACCCTTCATATCTCGAGTTGAAGTATATATCGAGTGAACTTAATACAAGAGTACTGTAAGTGGATGAGGGTTTTCTATTGAAATGCATTTTACCTTGTTGTTTCTCCATCATTTATAAAAAGGAAGGAGGGAGGAAAAAAAACGCATAAATGTCATACGTTGTAACAGGGGCCTCCTTTCTTTATACGAAGTTTTATAAATCCTCAGTTAAAGTACAGGTGTTCGAGATCGTTACACGGGGGGAAGGAGTAGAAATCTGTTTTACGTCGTCGATTTTTACCTGTAAAGAAAATAAAAAGTTATCTCGAGCGAGAAGTCAATAGATCAGATACGAGTAGAAAGTCTTTTAAGAGTGTTGGTAGAAACGTAAAAATGGTGGATATATTGTTTTGTGTGCAATATAAGGGATCTAGTTAAAGCTATCTTGGACCATCGGATCTCCCAATGGAGATGGTAAATCTCCCTTCCTCCACAGTGAAGTACTTCAGACATCAAAAGCGAGATTCTCTATAGATAGTTTGTTTACAATCACTCTTCTATCGTTATTTCTTACCGGAATGGGTTATATTTTCTTATTGTTGACATCTCCAATTTTATTCTAAAGTTTTACCGGATAAAAATCCAATATTTAACTTCAGATTCAACTCTTTATTTATCTTTTATCAATAGTTAACGTGTCTGAAGTTTCTTCTTCTTCTTGGTTATCCTCGTGGTGATCACATCACGTAAAACGTTATTTATTTAAAATTAATTCATAAATTGATACTGTAAATAAATTTAAAATTTAATTCTTTATATAATCCCTTAAAATTTACTAAAATTCGCGTGTTTATGAGGAAGTTCTTCCTTCCTCATCCCTTTCGAGACGTAGCATCTGGATAAGATTCTTTGCTAAAGTTTCCAAGAAATTTTCCTTTCTTTCTTCTAAGATTCGACATATTTGAAAAGTTTAAAATTTTCTAAAAATTTCTGAATGTGTGAACTTTACAGTTTTCATGTGGAGCACGATTTTTTAACTCATCGTTTTCGATACCTCACCTTAAAGAGATGGTTCGCATTTCAAGTAAAACCATTCGCATTATACAAAGAAGGGGAGAGGAGAGGATAGAAAGAAAAAAAAAAGCTGTTCGCGTGATGATTCACTCGAACTTATCGAAGGAAAAAAATAAGCAAAAATAACATAAAACTACCCATGAAAGTGAAGCGTGACCCGTTCTCAATATCCATAGCTAATGCTTCAGATCACGGTAGCGTAAAACCATTTTTAAAAAATATAAAAACACGTGTTTACATACCATTTTCCATACACATTGTTAATTATAATTAAAATAAACATATATATTTAATAGAAAATTGATAAATAAAACGAAATCACAGTCAATTCTATGCTATTTTTATATCAAAGGATGATGATTTTCTCTGAATCAGATCCTTTCCCATAAAAACAATACATAGACTATTTATATATCAGTATAAAGAATGTATTTTATATATTTCCTTTCTATTTTTATAAAATTCTATATATAATTTTTATTTATTATATCCTCATTTTCCTCATTCATAATCCTCCAATCTATTTTTGTTTCTTAGCATCATTCAGCATCTTTTTTATTACTGCTCTTACCTTCTTTTTTATTTTTACTTTACTTTTTCCTTAGAAAAATTTGTATGTAATATATATACAGTTTTCTTTACCCTTATTTTTGTTCCATCTTCCTCACTTCTCTGCTGATTTTCATCTTCCTCACTTCTCTGCTGATTTTCATCTTCCTCACTTCTCTGCTGATTTACATCTTCCTCACTTCTCTGCTGATTTACATCTTCCTCACTTCTCTGCTGATTTTACATCTTCCTCACTTCTATGCTGATTTTATATCTTCCTCACTTTTATGCTGCTTTTATATCTTCCTCACTTCTGTGCTGATTTTACATCTCCCTCACTCCTCTCTCTGCTGATTTTACATATTCCTCACTTCTATGCTGATTTTATATCTTCCTCACTCCTCTCTCTGCTGATTTTACATCTTCCTCACTTTCTGCTGATTACTTCTTCCTGATATTTGATTTTTCCTCACTTTCTGCTGATCTTTCATTACATTCTTCATTCGTATTTGATTCTTTACTTTCAATTCACCGCATGTTTAATGTTTCAATTCTATACTTTTTCTTCTGGAAAATTATCTACTTTATTCCTTGCTACATAAACAATGAAAATTTTAAAATTTACTGCAATCAATTAATTCCATTTGCAACATATAATTAAGAAGAATTCCATAAAGAATAATATTCTTAAATAAATTCAAACATTATTCGTGTATCTGATGCAAGAAATTAAGTAGAATTAAAGAAATATATTTTTTTTTATCCATTTATATTATTAAAACATTAAATGAAAAATTATTTAATGGAAAAATAATTCGCTTTTATAAATAATAAAATATATTATTCTTTATTTTCAATATTTTCTTAGAGAGGGGGAAAAGAGAGAAGAAGAAGAAGGAAAAAAAAAAAATACAAGAAAATTATAATTGATGATGCGAGGTTTGTAAATGGAGTCAAATTGAATTATTAATCACGAATTTCTGATTAATTTTACTCTTACATTTTTTTCTTCTTTTGTGAATCTTAAGAAGTTAATAAAGTAGAAATCTTTATGATTTTGGTTTTATAAATGATCCTTTTCTAGATTTTTATTTTTTTAAAAATAATTCTAATATATCTCAAATTTCTCCTCTTCATCTTTACATCCACATCTTTATTTTTCTCCAACGCAATATAACTGTAATTATTGATGATATACAGCATTTAAAAAATAAATTTCGGTTTTCTGCGGTTGATATCTTTACAAAAACAAAGTTTAGAATGTATACAACAACAACAACAACAACAGTAGCAACAACAACAACAACAATTACAACATCAAGAAACGAGCGATTACATACAGAAATTTCGTTTTAAAAGACAAAAAAAAAGTAAGGAGACAACTCGTTTCCATTGCAAATGTAATGTACAAAGGAAAAAAAATCATCAAGCAAATGTACTGTGCAGTACAATACTAAGCTTATTGTTCATAAACATAAAATGTACTTTATTGCAATTCAGTAAATGATAGCCATTATTCATTAGCTTATGCTTGTACATTAGATGACAGAAAAACATTAAATTCTCTTTGACAAATACCAGTTAATGTTGCTGCTCGTCACAGTAAACACGTGTGTCGAATTTCTAATGAAACACAAATGTGATCTCATCAATTGTAACTATTCATGATGATTATTTCGCAAAGAATGTTTTGTGAATGATTTATTTTACTCAAATATAATTCATAAAGGAGTTTCGTCTACGTTTTAAATTGTTCCCATTATCGATTATTATTACAATCGTCGTCTGCACCATACTCTCTCTCTCTCTCTGTACTTGAAGTAGAGTACGACACACAATTTTAATTATCTCTTATCGCTTATCTTTATTAATGTATCTCATTTATTTACCTTATTTCTTTATCCTTATCTTTCCAGATTTTTTAATAAAAAAAGGGGGGAAATATTCTAGATTTTTTTGCCATTAATCGTAGTAATTGAGCAATATTACATTGATTCTTATCATCGAATTCTGTTCCTGTCGTGATGCTATTAATCAATTGGATTCTTTACCTTACCCCTTATCGTTGTGTAGTTTTCTTGCATCGATCCTTATCGTTGAGCTCGTGTTACTTATATTCATCTGGATCATTATCATGCTGTTTCGATCCCTGAGCAGTGCTATTTGACATTGATCAGGTGCTATTGAATAATGTTCCTGCGATCGATCACGTATATTAACAAGATGCATCGATCTACCAACTCTTCGTCTTCCCGGAGTAAATCTCTACTTAATCACTTAACAACGTCATTAATACGTTAAACACTTTAAAAAATGACGTGTTTATCGTTATAATTCCAAAAAATTGACTTTTTTTTCTGCTTAAATTTTAAATATTTACTTTCTCTTAAGAGCTTGATGCTCTATATCAGTGTCAGTTATCTCGACGATGGACAATATCCAGAAGGAAAGAAGCATCTATATCAAAAGACAGCAGATGTTTTCACTTTCCTACATTCTTCCTTTCACTTTTACTTTCTTATCCACGACAGCTTTACCTTATTGCACAGGGAAACGTTTTGTCAGTAGAAAATGCGAAACTTTAGAAAATATCCCTTTGAAATCAATTTAGACGGAAAGAGGGTATATCTTTAGAGTTAAAGGCACGATTTTATAATAGAAAATCGGTCAGAGCCTCACAATTTCTGTTGTGTATTAAGTGTAGGACAGAGCACTATCTTGGGACACCATTAAGAGACAATGTACCCATTAATAGTTTCCCTGTGGCTTCTGCACGCGAACCTGTTGTGTGGGGTTATCACGTGATTCTTCATCGTTAGTAAAGACTGTGATGGGAGAAGTTCATCTTTGACTTTTCCTATAACGTTGATATCTTCACTCTTTCTGATATTGTTCGCTCACATTTATTTATTTTTTTTTATTACCTCTTCAATCTAAATATCAACAGCATAGAAGCGAGAGAGCATTTCCTTGCTTTTCCATTGTTCCTCGTTAGATAATACTCTTATACTTAAGAAAAATATATTAGAAAATCGTATAAATCAGGATATTTCATTCCTTCGAACAATAAAAAAAAAAAATATAATAACACGACTGGAAGTAGAGCGTACGGAGAGAAATTATTTCTTTAAAGACACGTGACCGATTCACGTCACGCAAATCAACGTGACGAGCTTCCAATTGACACGTGTGTGTGCGTGACAGGTTCCTAGGGATTTGGCTACGGTCGGGGCATCATCTATGTTATCTCCCGTGTTCCATTAGCAGTATTAATTTTCTCTCCGTTCTGGGTGTTGTCCAAGTAACGTCACTACCCTAGATACGGTCCGTGCTTATTGTTTTTAAAACAATTCTTCTTCCCTATTACCTTTATATAAATTTCGGATCATTAAAACATTAAAATAAATTGCTTTTGTCGTCACTCCTACCGAATTTTTATTAAATATTCCTAGCATTTATGAATAAAAATTTTACCTTGTTACTAACTCACCTACGTAAGCAAAACTTCCATTAATAGCATGACAATTTGGTTGTCGCATTTGTTTAATATGCTATCTTGTCAGATTAAATTATCATTAGTAAACCGAGTAAAAGATCATTATCTTGAATTTTTCGAAAATTTCCATAAATTTAATTGAATTTACAATTAAAATTTCACCTTCGAGGGTCGAACGAATCTGTTTCCAAGTAATGGTAAGACGTAAAGGAACCATAATTTAAATATAATTAATAACTTCACAATTTTAAAAATAATTTTACAAGAATGGAAGAGCAATTTAATGCTTCGTTCCTCCTTAGAGAAGAGCAAAACATTTGTATAAACTTTATCAAAGCAAAGTAATTTTCCGTAGATCAATCTTCATTTTTAATTCGAAATTTATTCTTAATGTTCGTCCATTCAATATATATATTTTCTACCAGAGAAGAGTAATTCCGTTCGTACAATTTATAATACANGTTTAGGAATAATTTACATATGATCAACGTTGAATCTAACAATTCCTTCGGGCAAAATTATCCTCATTAACACGGTTCTCATTTGATAAAAGTACGAATCTGTTTCCAAGTAATGGTAAGACGTAAAGGAACCATAATTTAAATATAATTAATAAAGAATTTCTAAATAAATTATATTCTCTCGTATACTCCAACTTTAAACAGAGCATCATCATCATCATCATCATCACCTTCAACTTTACTCCATAATCATCTATGATAAATACGATTTAAATCTTCCTAAACCCAATCAAATTAACGATTAAACCTCATTAAGTATGCCTCATTAAGGTTAGATCCTCATTTTCTTTAATAGAAAGTAAACTAGAAAAAAAAAATAGTCATGAATTTTACAAATTTAAATTAAAATAATAAAATAAAAACAACAGTTTTAGATAAAAATAGCTGGCAGAAACGATGCAGTATCGACACCTTTAATATAAGTTTAGTGGATTAATCTCACGTGCCCTGTAGGTGTTTTTCGGGGTGACTTTTTTCTTTCTCATCAACGAGGAGAGTCGCTGATGTCTTTGCCACCACACATCATTAAGCTAAAGATCACTTTTGATGTCCTCCGTCATCACAACTTGTCGTAGTCATTAGAAGGCTTGTACTCTATCTACACAAGTTATTTGCTTCCAGCTACGAATGTATTTTTTCTCCTCCTTTTGCATAGATGCTGCTCACTTTTTTTCTTTAATTTTTTTTTTTATTTTATCGACACACATTCTGGTAATATCAACAATAAAAATAAACACGAATAGATTGTGTGTTTTTCTCAAGAAAAAAAAAAATATATATATATATATAAAATTGTATATATAATTTTACAAAATTTAAAATTGAATTTTATCGATGTAAATGGCCCACTCTATATCCTTATAGAGGTGGAAGTATTCGATGTGTAACTTCCTCTCCTACGTAATAGAGATGTCTCCATCTGTTGTATCTAGCAAATCGTTTTTTAATGATAATAAGTTCTAAATTGAATTATTTTTCTTACAACCAGACCAATTTATTTTGGTACGAAGATCGTAAAGTATATCTTCTCTTATAAATTAGTTGGTTAAAGTGAAAAACTTCTTGCATGATGTAATAAAGGATAAAATATAGCTCCATACCCTTACCAAACCTTTATATATATATTTCTTTTTTAAACTCATAATTCTAGACAATTATCGACTTTTAAAACTTAAATTGACGTAAATTTTATTAAATTATAACCTTTTAAAATAATTACATAAACAGAATAATAAATTAAGTAACTAAGTTTATATTATTATTACTATTTTTTATTTTTTCCTCCTCCTTAAATTTAGTTGGATGAGGAAATTTCTGAATGTAAAAGGCATCTTAATTAAGAAATCAAGTTTAAGTTTATACACTTGTCTTTCTCTCAGGAATTGAAACAATCTTTCAACTAATTAATAAAAGTGTTATCTGGAGTTTTCCATGTTTGAAAATCTACTTAAAGTGTTAAGTATCGAGTGGAAAAGGAAGAGATTCG